TATAACTCTTCAGGAGTATGACAATTGAAGTATGAGAGATTTCATTACATAAGATATATAATATTTTTTTTCATTCATCATTGAAAATAATTCTTACCCATAGGATAATGTTTGCTACACATATCATATGTGTGTTACCACTATCAAATCTTAACAAGTAATGTGAAGAATGATATGATGTATATCAAACAAGAGATGCTCATATAAGACAATTAAACCAATGAAACATATAGTCATATAGAAGAGAGACAATTTTCTATCAGATATCTCACATAAAAATTATACTTTTGTATATGTGCTTCTGGCACTAGTACAATCTCAATAAACTACTTTTATATCACTATTCGTAATATATTGTGTCCATGAGTATTGATTTGGTTGGATTTCATTATTCTTATGTATTACTTCAGGAATACAAACTGTTCATAACATATCATAAAATATTCAACATCATCTTAATTCAAAATTAGTCATCAAGACTTACTCACAGTGTAGTCATTATTTTATTTTGATACTTGTATTGGTGTTGGTCCTGCAGGGAGTATACCAAAACTTTATTTTGAATTTATGGGAGATACTTACGTCGATGATGATCCATCGGGGAGTATATAAAAACATTATCGTTAACTTGTAAAAGATCCTTCAGGGAGTGTATAAGAACTTCGTTGTCGACTTACAAGCTATCGACAGGTAAAACATTGTTCTAATTATTTTATCCATCAATATTTAATATTAGTGTCCTTCTGGGACTACTAGTATTCAATTGAATCTTATAAAATTGGATAGATAGATATTGCACTATTTCATAATTGCACATATCTATCTTCTCATCCAACCTTTTTATAAATATGATCATAAATTGAGTTATACAACATAAATAATTTATATCAAATATTTCCACCACTTTTTATATATAATTTTTCTCTCATACAAAATAGACATCATAACAATTATTTTATGCCTTGGCAATAATTCCCAACTTTAACATACTTTCAGCAAATAATAGCAAAATCAATTGCTAGCCACTTGTAAAACATGTTCAGTACAATTAAATCACCAACAGAGACTTGAGGCAATTTAAAAACATGTTCACTACAATTAAATCATTGAAGCATGCATACAAACTAAGTCATGATAAGTATTTTACTGCATTAGAGTTATTGAATAATGAAAAGAATCTTATTATCCAGTAACCTTTTGATGGTTACGGGCCTTACTATAATTAAGGAGGAAAAAATCAATAAAAACCTGTACGCATAATTGGCAGAAGCACCACAATAATATGCACACAGTTCCAAATACGCAATTTGATAAGAATCAATCAAAGCAGTAATTGGGTGCTCAAATAATTTCCCATACTCGTGTATATGTAATCGACATCCGAGCGGCAATATTAATTCACATTTTAATTAATCTCTGCAATTAGCCTTCAGAAAATATCATTCGAATATAAATCTCAGTTATTCTAAAATCTGGCCGGCCTCATAATTAGCTTTTCATGAACAAATATATAAGTTTTTCAGTAAATAATTTCAAGAATTCAATTGTAGAATCCAATTGTTGGCCACATTCAGTAAATAATAATATCAATTTGTGGCAGTCAAACAAAAGGTAAATAAATAATAACTGTAGCTTTATTTCCCAATCCAATTACAATGTTTATGTTTTATTCTGTCAATTTTCTAATTTGCAGTCAATTCTGCTCTCAATATCAATGTGCTACTGTTTATGTTTTATTCATTTGTCCAAGCCTTAGCAACTGCAAATTTGACAAAATTAAATGGAATTGGGCCAAATAATATGTGAAATTACAATCTCACTCACTTTTAAAAACAGGAAAATTACACTAATTTATCCCTAAACCAGCTGCACGACACCATGAAAACATAGCACAGAATGAGAGTAGTTCAGTAAAATACAGGCACACAAAGCACAAATATGGGCCTGTTTTTTTTTTTTTTTCTTAGCCGGAAAACTCGAACGAGCATAATTTCCAGCTATTAACACCCTCGACTGGCGGCCATAATTCGAATTTTACAAAGAATATATAAACGCATAATTCCCAACCATGTATGAATTCAATTGTCCAATAAACTCTACAGCAAAAGAATCAAACACAATTATTTGATCACGAATGTTCTAACAATTATTTCATGGTCATCCCAATTAATTCAATCCAACCTTTGCAGCAGGCGAAAACAGAATTGCAATAAAACCGAAACGAAATTCTACTCTTTTATATGGCAAAATAATTATTGATGTTGAATAGATCTTGAATATTACCTTGACAGAAAAGACATAATTCTTTTCTAGGGCATAAATCAATTCTTGATTGTTACCTTGATTGCCTGGTTATCTTGATGCCATTGTCGTTCGCTCAGTTGGTTAGAGTGCTCGTGCTGATAACGTGTTGTAATATAGATTGACAATATGTAAAATCTATGTGTAAATAGACAAAGACAGAAAAAGTAGAAGAAGAAGAGAATAAGAGAGAGGAGATACGCCGTCAAAACTATCATCTTATTCAATCACTTGAGTCTATATATAAGGGAATATAATGTACATGAGTAAATACCTAATGGGCTTCTGGCCCATGCCTACAAATCCTATATCTAGATAATGTCCACAACTTAATATTTACAACAATAATGCAATTAAAATGTTGTTGGTGACTGCAATTGAAAATCTAGTGCAATTTGCAGGTAATATTTATTATTAATAATAATATAGTTGTAAATAGAGATGTTAAACAT